CAATAACAATAATATCTTTAGTAACTAAAATGTTAAAACATTATTTAACTAACTTAATACTTTTTCTTCTTTTCTGACAAATGTCAGCTGCGTTGCCTGAGCATGAGGGTGATGGCGTGGAGGTGGCAGAGGACGAGCTGAAGGCTCTGCTCTACTCGCCTCAGGAAGGAGAGTGGGGCGCTCACACGAGAGATGAAGAGTGTGAGAGGGTCATCTTTGGCATCGACCTTCTCCTCACACTGGGTAGGCCACCGAAGGGTCGATGACAGTTTGCTTGTTACAGGAGAAGTCTGACCTTGTTCATGTTTGACCTCACTCCTGTTTGTCCACAGATGTTGCCAAGGCATTCGCATCACCTGTAAATCTGCAAGACTACCCTCTGTACTGCACTGCCGTTTCTTACCCCACTGACCTCAGCACCATCCACAAACGACTGGAGAACCGCTACTACAGGTGAAGCGGCACACAAACACAACCTATCTTCACCATTCATTCAAAGGCTTGATAATTGTGCTATTCTTCTATTCAGTCTTAGACCTGTGTCACTGTTTGACTCGTATTTAGTCAACCACATTCCTTTTTAAAAATATTTTTAAAGTCTTAGCATTTTAGTATTTTCCGAGGAAAACCCTAAAGGAAACCCGAACTATTTTAATTTTAGTTAAATATCAGCTTGTTTTTGTCATCCTAAACTCTAATTAAGTAACTTCAAGTCAACCATTGTGTGTTGCACTTGTCCTGACATGGCGCACAACACAGGACACAAAACTGCTCTATTAAAGTAAAAAAATATAATATATATTTGATATCCTTTATTCGCATTGAAAATGAAATAGAATTTGGTAATGTTTTAATGTAAAAGAAAATGACATATTTATTAACACTTGTTTGTGCGGATGTCCTTCTCTGCTGCAGGCGGATCTCTGCGTTAATGTGGGAGGTGCGCTACGTCGAACACAACGCCCGCACTTTCAACGAACCCCAGAGCCCCATTGTAGCAACTGCCAAGGTGGTGACTGACATTCTCCTGCGCTACATCGGGTAAAGCTCCACACAGCTCATGTACGATGTTACTACAATGTTTATTAGTCCTGCACATGTGTCTTATGCCTCTGTCTCTTTCAGGGACCAGAGCTGCACGGACATCTTGGATCTGTACCACAAGCTGAGGTCTGAGGTCAGCAGTGGAGGAGAAGAGGTGAGGTTTGGGTTGTGTTTTATTAGTTGTTGTTTTTTGTGAAACGTCTTTGGCTTAGGAGTCATTCAATCGGAAGGCTGGGGTTTCAATCCCCAGCCCATGCAGTCAACATGTCCTTAGGCAAGATACTTTATTCCAAATTGGCCAATGGTGGGAGAATGTTAGTCTCTCTGAGCAGTTGGCACCTTCTATGGCAACCCATGTATGAATGTGTTTAAATGCATTCACTTGTATATGTAAAAGCACATTGAGGGACCCAAAGACTGGAAAAGTGCTATTAAAAATAAGTCAACTTACCGTATTTTAATTATGGTGGCAGGTTTTTTGTAGTGTTTTATGTAGGATTAATCACAGGTTAAAAATGAATTAATCATGATTAATCACCATTCGAACTATGTCCAAAATATTCAATTTCTTTATGTATATTGTTGTGGGAATGGAAAGATAAATGAAAGAAGGCGGATATATCCATTTAACATACAGTAGGCCTATGTATGTATGTATGTATGTATGTTTATTATAACATTGTTCTGTGTGTCAAAATGAAAGACAGCCCACACACCTATCAATCATCAAACCGTGGGGT